TTTTACAAGCTCATTCTTTACTTAGATTCCTGGATAACACCTATGTCAAGATTTACTACAAAAAGCCCAAAAGAAAAGTATTTTAAGATGTGAGTGCTTGCTTCAGAGTTTCCCTTTAAGTGAAGCTGATTCCTTGCTTAATGAACTTTGTACTTTTGTGTGTGTGTGTTACTGAGGGTTGGATTCAGAGCCTTGTCCTTGCTCAACAGGGCTCTACCACATGAATCCCTCCTTCAGCCCTGATTCCTCATCATTATTCATTCATTCATTACCAGTCCAGCATGACAGACTTCTTTATGCCAGACCACTATAATGTATAATGAAGCATTGCAACTTTGATCATTGTAAATATGTATTAGCCTCAAATTTTACTGTGCATTCTACAAAAATATCTCAATTGCATTTTCCTTGATCATTTCAAAAAATTACCTTGTTAATATTTTGTATTTCCCATAGTTTCTTCTTATTCTTGGTGATCCAAAAGCCTTTGCCATTAATCTTTCAAAAAATGGTCTCTATCTATATAGTCATAGATTTTTAGAGAGATGGTGAATGGTTCCTTAGAGATCACCTATATAACTCTCCTGTTTTAAAGATACAGGAACAGAGCACAATAGATTTTAAGTGACTTTCTCCACATTTTAAGAGACAGTTGACAGAACTGGAAGTAAGTTATCTGATCCATAATCCTGTAATTCTTATCCCCCAAAGAGCAATTTCCTGAGCCTTTGGTATAAAGTAGCTTATTTGTCACTAGGAAAGGAAATAGGAGGGTGACATGAGGCATCAGTAGTGTAATTGGTATAAATGACCTTTTAGCTCTTTCATTCTAGTCTTGGGGTCTGTAGTGTTTTGCCAAGGAATCATGAAATGCTTAGAGACCCCACATTTCTCCCTATAGCATAATAAACTCACGGTTATCAAATATTCCTACTATTTAAACTCATGGTGCTAAATTTTGTTTTCATGGATGGAGCTGCCTAAGGAGACTAATGTAATACTGCCATCTTGTATCAAAAAAATTAACTTACGTAAACAATGTGCTGTATGCTCACTAATGGAGGGAAAAGCATCTTCCTTCTATGTGCAGATTCCCACAGAAGAGTGAGGCACATGTAATCAGAAGACAGATGTTTATATGTAATATTTAGTAACATGTCTACAACTGGGAAAAGTATCAGAATAATCCTAGAAACGTCAGCTGAAATGGAATTGAGAAATATGTCTTCAATTTTGTTCTTTTTCAAAATTGCACTGGCTGTTGTAGGTCCCCTGAATTCTCATATTAGAATCTTACTGATTTCTGAAAAAAACAGCTGGGATTTTTATAAGGATTGGGGAGTCTTGCCACCAATCACAATATTAAGTCTGCCATTTGAACCTTGAATTATACCCCTAGCATTTTTTATTTTTTGAGATAGGATCTCACTGTGTAACCCAGACGGGTCTCAAATTTGTAGTAGTCCTGCCTCTACCCAAGTGATAGTATTACAGGTATGTACCACCATGCTTTCCATTTTTTTTTTTTTTGGCATTACTGGTGTTTGAACTCAGGACCTCATGGTTGCTAGGTAGGTTCTCTACCACTTGAACCACTCTACCAGCCTAACTCCATTCTTTCTTGATGGTAACAAATGAAATTATTTTAATTTCATTTTTGTATTCATTGGTGGTATTTAGAGAAACATTTGATTTTTTCACATTGATCTTGTATTTTGTGGTCTTGCTGAACTTGTTTATTAGTTCTAATTTCTTTTAGTGGCTTTCTTGTGTTTTTTTTTTTTTTTTTCCTTCTGGTACTGGTGGTGAACTTAGGGGCTTTGCCCTTGTGAGGCAGGTGCTGGAATATACTATATATTACAACCATCTATAAATAAGGATGACTTTACTTCTTCCTTCTAACTTGAATGCCTTTACTTCTTTTTCTTGCCTAATTGCCATGGCTGGAACTTTTTGTATTGGTGTTTTGGACTCAGGGCCTCACTTGCTAGATAGATGTCCTACAATTTGAGCCACACCTCCAGCCCTTTTTGCTTTGTTATTTGGAGGTTGGGTGTCACTTTTGATCAGGTTGGACTGGACAGCCATCCTATTTTAAGCTTACACTGACACTGGGATGACGGGCACATGCCACCATGGCCCATTTTGTTGTGGTTGAGATGGGGATTTTGCAAACTTTTTTTTGTCTCAGCTGACCTGGAACTGTGATCCTCACATTCTCAGCCTCCCATGTAGCCAGGATTATAAGCATGAGCCACCAGCGCCCTGCTATGGCTGGAACTTCTGGCACAATGTTGAGAAGAACTGGCAAGAGTGAACATCCTTGTTTTGTCTTTCATCATTAAGTATGATGTTAGCTGTGGGTTTTCACAGATATCCTTTATCACACTGAGGAATTTTCTTGAATGTTTTTATCATGAGTGTTGGACTTTTTCATGGTTTTTCTGTGTCTGTTGAGATAATCATGTGGTTTTTGTCATCTATTCTGATATGGTATATGTGGTAGGCAGAACAGTGCTCCCAGCCAAGTTCTAGTGCCCAGAACTTGTGACACCTGTGAGTATATTACCTATCTGCAGATAACAGACAGAATTAAAGTTACAAATCAGTTCCTTTTTTTTTTTGTGATGCTGGGGTTGAACCCAGGATCTCACACATGGCAGTCAAGCTCTCTAACACTGGGCTACTACAAGCTCCAGCCAATCCTTAAAATAGATTATCCTGGATTTTAGCTCAACGTAATCTTAAGGGTCCTTAAAAGTGGAAGAGGAGGAGAGAAGAACCATAGAGATAGTAGCATGAGAAGAACTCTGCCAAATGTTGCTCACTTTGAATAAACATGCATGAAAGGAACGTAGTGGTCTCCAGATATTGAAAAAATCAGGTAAGTGGATTCTCCTGTAGAGCTTCCAAAGGGAATACAGACTTGTCTCTAAAAGGGAATGTAGACCTGCCAAAACCTGATTTTATCCCAAGACCCATTTAAGAACTCTGTCCTAGTTGGGGACTCTGGTGCCTCACACCTTTAACTGCTATAGCTACTCAGGAGGCAGAGATCAGGAGGATGGAGGTTCAAAAAGCCAGCCCGGTCAAATAGTTCACAACACCCTGTCTTAGAAAAAAAACAGTCATAAAAAAGGGCTGGTGGAATGGCTCAAGGTATAAGTCTTGAGTTCAAGCCCAGTACCACAAAAAAAAAAAAAAAAAAAAAGAACTCTGTCCTTCAGAACTGATAAACTTAAGCTCATGAAGCCATTAAATTAGTGGTGATTGTTACAGCAGCAACAGGAAGCTAATATGGGGTGCTAGATTGATTTTCAGATGTTAAACCAATTAATCCTAAATCCCAGTTGATCATGGTATGCGATTCATTTTATATTAGCTGGATTTGGTGAACTAGTGTTTTGTTGAGGATTTTTGAATCTGTCTATATTCATAAGATATCTTGGTCTTATGTTTTCAGCTTTTGTGATGTGTATTTGGATTTGGTGGCAAGATAATACTGGACTCATTGAAAAAGTTGAGAAGTGGTCCCTTTTCTTCATCTTCTTTTTCTTCTCTGCCCTGCCCCCCCCACTCCCAGGTGGCACTGGAGTTAGAACCCAGGGTCTCACACATGTTAAACATTCTCTCTACCACTGAGCTATACCCCCAGCCTGAAACCTATATTTTATCAACATGTTATGTAAAATAGATTTCCATTATAATAACAGGTGAAGTTTTTATTACCATCATAAAACTGCATTTGTTATTTTACAGGCCGCATTTTTAAATTGATATAAACCTTTTTTTCCCAATGATAATACCTTCCCATTTCTATACACTCTCTATTTCTCCTTTGCTTAAAATAAACCTTCATTTTTTTTGTTTAAAATAAAATTTAGTAACCATCTATGTTTATTTTATTTACTAAAAGTAAAATTAAGTAGCCACTTTCTAAATTTGTACTGGCCTATGAAATATACAAGTCTAAGAACCCCTGTTAGAGAACTTCCACAACTAGGTTACAGGTATGTTGTACATACAGAATAAGATGTATCTATGGAATAAGTTTATTATACTTGTGAATAATTTTTTCTTTCTCTCTTTTTTTTTTTAAAAAAGCATTACTGGGGTTTGAACTCGGCCCCATACTTGCTAGGCAGGCACTCTACCACTTGAGGCACTCCACCAACCCTGAATAATTTTTAAATAGCAAAATGTCAGTATTTTTTATTTAATTAAGATTTTTAAGACATCTAAAACTGACTTTGCAAAAGAGGTGAAAACTATATCAAAATCACTGCTGTACATTGTAAAAAAATGAAACAATCCAAATGTCCAATAATATACATTGGTTAAAATTATAATGCACTTATATACTCATTATATATAATAGTGTTATAGACATGAAGAATGCTTGTCATTCTAGTTACTGCTTTCTTTTTCAGCCTTTGGACATAGTATAGCTTCCAGGGTGGTTTAACATGTATGTGTGCTGGTTTTCTTTAATCCTGTTCATGTCTTTATAAGTAAATTAAAATTTTAATTACAGTTATTAAACCCTGTCCAATCACTCCACTTTAATGTACTATCTATTTCCTGCTAAGACCCTAAGAAAGGTTAAACACAGATTAATGGTGAAATTGAACCATTACTCTCTGGTTGGGGAAATTAAGATAAAAATACAGAGAAAACAACAAATGTCTGCGTTTAAAAAGTATTACAGTGATCTAAGTGTGGTAGGGCATGTCTATAATCCCAGCATATTCAAAGGCAGCTTGGGATTTTGAGACCCTTTCTCAAAAGGGAAAAAATAAAAAAGGACTCTAATATGTGCATCTAATAATAGTGAAAGCTGCCATTAATTAAGGAGTTATTCAGTTGTATAGTATGCTTTATATATATTATTTAATCCTTTAATCCTGAGAGAGAATTATAATCTCCAGTTTACATATGAGAAAATATTAAGCATCTCTGATTATTGCAAATTAATACCCTGTCATTATTTTCTTTTATAGATCATTCACGAGAAGTCTTGGACCAATTAGTAGGCCCAAACAAACTAAAGCAAGTGACATGGACTGTTTATTGATGTTTTTGAAGCTTATCAAAGTTATGAAAGCTTATCCCAACTACTTTCCCAGGAAATGGTTTATAGATAATAGCTTTCCACTTATTTTATTCTTATTTAAGCTGTAACTCTCAGAGAATCAGCTAAATCTCCGTATGTATGTGTTTGTGCTTTAAAGTTAAGAGACTCTTACAAATTTTAATACTGCTGTAATATATTTGTATTTGTTTGATGAGACATTGTCTTTGAAGTGCTAATCCTAGTAGGAACTCTTACCTATCTGAGGGGGGAGGAGGCTGGGTTTTGTTTCTTAAGTAACAAAGGTTCAAATTATCTGTTTTCCCTTGAGATTTCCTTCTCTGTAGGTATTGAACTCCTGTATGAGATATTTACTGACATGGATAAACTTTAGGAGAATTCTAAGTAAAGATATTTCTAAAAGCATATTTACCTTCCTAGTTACTTTCTGGCTCTTGCCTTCATGAAGTATTTAAATGGCCACTTGCCAAAAGCAAAGCTGAACATCAAGCTTGTGAATTCTTCACGGAAACTTATGTACTCTGTTTCATTGAAATAAAGTTATGATTTATAGCATTAAAGCTTAACTATTCAGCATACCAATATTCAAGGCCCTTGCATCATTACTTATTTCACTGATTTTATGGCTACTCTTCCCAAATATGTTTTATTCATTTATGAACTTTCTTCTTTAGCAATACTGCATTTAAAAGTGTGATTACATCACCCCTAAATTTAGCCTGTGTCACTAGTACTTTCATAAAGCCTTTTTATTTTAGCCTGGCATGGTAGAACATGCCTATAAATCTCAACACTCAAGAGACGGAGACAGGATTGTGACTTCAAAGCCAGTCTGGGCTACGTGGTGAGGCCTTGTCTCAAAAACAAGAGAAAGATGCTGCACAGTGGAATCAAGCCAGAGCTCCTAGTCAGCCACATACCCCAAGGGCAAAGAACTGACCCTCTAGTGTTTTGTGTTGCTAATCTGTGGTGTTCATTCTGTAGGTTAGATGTATTAATTGCATTTGGGGTCTAATTTTTGCTTTTGTGTTTTGTTTTGAGACAATGTCTCACTGTGTAGCCCAAGTTAGCTTGGAACTGTGATCTTCCTGTTTCTAACTCCTGAGTACTGGGATTATAAGTGTGTGCCACCATAGCCATTTTAAATGAATTTACAGAATATTTTCAACATGCAATAGATTTATCAAGACATATCCTCATTATAAGTCAAGGAACATCTGTACTTGAATTTTTTTGGTGGTACTGGGGTTTGAACTCAGGGCCTCCCAGCCCTTTTTATTTTTTTGCGATGGTTTTTTTCTAGATAGGATCTCATGAACTATTTGCCTGGGCTGGCTTTGAACAGAGACCCTCCTATCTCTGCCTCCTAAGTAGCTAGAGTTATTGGCACCCAGCTTGTCCTTGAAATGTTAAAAGAAAAAAATAAAATCTAGAATGTTGTACCAGTGAAATTATCTCTCAAAAGTACTGGAGAAATAAAGACTTTCTTAGACAAACAAAAACTGAGAATTGTAAAAATAAGGTCTTATGAGAGAAGTATTTATAGGCCAGAAACATAAATCTACATAAAGAAAGGAAGAAAGGAAGCCAGGTATGGTGGTGAATGACTATAATCCCAGCACTTGGAAGGCTGAGACAGGGAGATTGAAGTTTGAGGACAACCTGGACTACACAGTGAGTACAAAGTTAGCCAAGGCTATATAGCAAGACCCTGTTGCAAGGAAGGAAAGAAGGGAAGGTGTTAGAGATAGAATGAAGTTAAAATCTTTTATTTTTTTTTTCCTTTAGCATATTATTATTGTACTGGGATATATACTGTGACATTTGCAAAAGTGCTTACAATATATTTTAGTTAGATCCTCCCTCCCCTTCTTAGAATAGTTTCAACAGTTCTCATTGTTCCATTTTCATACGCGAGTACAAAATATTTCCACCGTATTCACCTTCCTTAGTTTTCTTATTCTTAGCTGATCTGATAGTAATTTGTTCACAGTAATAATAGCAGTCATGTATTTAGTGATTGTAGCTTAAGAATAAGTGAAGTGAATGGTAGCAATGTTACAAGGGACCTGAGAGAAGGATTGGGTATACTCTGGTTAAGGTACTTGCACTGCCTATGAAGTGGTGTGGTTTATTTGAAAGTGAACTTGGATTAGTGCTGGAACTCCCAAATGCCTGGGCTACAGGTGTACAGGCAAATGTATACTGCATACTCTGGGACAGACACTACAAAAGTTTTTTAGTAAGCATAATTATGGTCTGGCAGAGTGGCTCAAGTGGTAGAGTGCCTGCCTAGCAAGTGTGAGGCCCCAAGTTTGAACCCCAGTATATAAAAAAAAAAAAAAAAAGTAATATCCTAAGGGAGAGAGAAAATAGAATCATATAAAATGCTCAGTTAAAACCAGAGAAGGTAAAAAAGTGCAATATAAAAAGGAAAGAACAAGAGCAACAAATGTGGCAAACAATAAATGTGGTAGGTATTAATCCATCAGTAACAATAATCATTTTAACTGTGAGTGATCTTAATGCAAGTCTGTTTCTTAAGCTATAAGATCATTTCAGGGCTTGCTGACGTACATAGAATAAAAAAAAATCTAAGTAATGTGGGTACCTCGAAAACCTTGTACTCTCTTCATAAATCACTGAGAGGATAATGGAAACGGGGTTCATAGATACTTAAGTCTACTCTTTGCCTCACCACGTTGATTTCTAGCAGTGCTCTGGAGTTTAATTTCTCAGTTTTCCTTGCTGAGGACATCCTGAATTTTCAAAGAATTATGTCCTCTCAATTATCCAGTGCCATTGTATAATTTCTATTAATGTTAATCACACTGAAGGAAAAGTTGGGTGTTTATCATTTGTAAGCCCCAGTATGTAAATTTCATGTAGCAAGACTTGATTCACTGGGCTATAACAAACTCTGGCTTCCAAAGGTCCAGAACCACATGATGGAAATCCTAAGACCTTTTGCAATCCTGGCTCCAAAATTCCCATCTAATTATCTTATTTTTCTAAGTAACAATTTGTCCTGACTTGCTTTTTCCATACTTCTAAGTGTGATCAACTCTCCCTAGTATCCTAATCTTGGTAGTGGTACAGATTATTAGAAATTTTTGCATGTAATTCAAGTGTCTTAGATAATTCTGAAGCAGTATGTAAGAGATAAGGGTACATTATAAAGGCTGAATTTGTTCTTATCACAAATAAAATGGTAGTATTTCATTTTAAATTAGACAATAAGAATTGCAGTGTATGTAATGAGTACAAAATTATAACACCCAAAAGTAAAAACTAGGTCTTCCCTACCAGTCCACAAGCCATTTGTTTCTCTCTCAGAGAGGAACCATTGTTCCAGTTATCATCTGGAATATCCCCCAAAGACTCATGTGTTGAAGGCCTGGTCTATTAATACAGTGTTCAGAGGTGATTAAATCATAAGGACTCTCACCTCACCGATGGACTAATTCACTGATCAATAATATATAGCTGAAGGGACTACTGGGAGGTGATGGAGAACGTAAGTTACTGGGGGCATGCCTTTGAAGAGTATGTTTTGTCCTCTGTGTGTCTCTTTTTGTCTCTTCCTCCCTCTTACCCACCTCTCCTTCTTCCTGGCCACCATGAGGTGATAATCCTGCTTTGTCTCTTGCCCAGAGCCAGCTGATGATGGACTGAAACTATAAGCCAAATTAAATTATTCCTCATTTTAAGTTGATTCTCTCAAGCACACTGTTATAACAGTAGAAAGTTAACACTCCAGTTTCTTACTATGTTTCCAGAGATATTCTATATACTTCAGGCAAATATATATTTTGTACATACACACACATACATATGTAGGAAAATACATACTTTTTTTTTTGCTTAAATAGTGGTATGCTATACATATTATTCACATTGTTTTTCATGTATGGTACAATTTTACTGATACAAAATCATGACAAGTCTGTGCATGTAATGGTGATAATAACCAATTTCTAGACAACCTTAGTAAACCACAGAGTTACCAGAAGGTATCATAGCAGAGTATGTAGGAATTTCTAAAATCTTAATTTTTTGCCATGATTGTTAAACTGAAGCCCTACTAAGTACTAAGTACTCTATTAGGCACCTTACTCTTTGATTTCATACAATAGCCCTTTGCGATGAGATCTGTTGAGTTTCACTACTATTTTATAAATCTTGGGAAGCTAGCTTAAGCAGCCCAAAATCCCAGCTATAAAGTGGATTTTGCCTGACTCCAAAGTCCATGTACCATATTAACTATACTGTTGGTATAGTTAATAAAAAATATTACATATTACATATATGTGCACCTATTCTTTTTCATTACATACATTCTTTTATATGTGTGTATATATGGGGTGGGGGTTGAGGCAGAGTCTTGCTATGTAGCCCCGCTGGCCTTGAACTTACTCTGTAGCCCAGACGGCCTCAGGCTCATGATCTTTCCACCTCAGCTTCCCAAGTGCTGGGATTACAGGCACTTGGGAAGTTTATGCTTTATATTTTAATGCAAAGATACATCATAAATACCCTCAACTACAGAACATCTATACCGAATTCTCCTGAATTACATGTTGCCTTCATTGGGAACTGGCCTTCTATAATCATATTCCTATGGCAGTGAAACTAAACAAAAAACTACAGGTAGAAATCTGTGTAACTGCCATGCACAGAAATGGAGAACTAGTTACATGACAAAGGTTGGCAAAACCTTAAGCTTTTACATTTTGGAAATAAGATTTGCCATTTAACAGGAATTACATTCTTTATACTGAAGAATATCTCCTATGGAGAATGTTTTTAGGGTTAAATCCAAACAGAACTATATTCATACTTGAAAGCACACTGACACCTCAAGGCCGAAAATCCCACACTGTGCTTGTTGTCAGCCCATTGTTTTCCTGTCTGGTGGGCTCTGGAAGTGAATATTCTACCACTTTGTACAGCTGGTGCTGAATTCTGTGTCCACTGAACTGGGGCCGGCCAGGGTCACCAATTAGGACTCGGGTTCCATAGGTGCAAAAGCAGTTCTTCAACCACTGATGAAGATGATCTGCAAGATCTTCGTCATAAAACATATCTCCAAGAACTACAAGGTCCCATCTATCTTGTTCCATATTCAAAATGTTTTTGGTTAAAATGGGAAAAGGATTCAGTCGATTCAACTCACAATTTAGTTTAATAGCCATTCCTGTAACTTTATAAAACATATGATAGTCTATTAGCATATTTATGTATATATATATATATATATATGTATGGTATATATATATATACATGGTATATATATATATGCCATGTATATTACATGCCATATGTGTACATATTACCATATATATTATATATATAGACAGTATTAATCTTTTAAATAAGTTTCAAAATCTAACTATTTTTTCTTGTTGAAAGCTGTTTTTTTAGGTAAAGAAGGCTAAAGTTCATATCAGTATAAACTATATATTGCAATTTCCAAAAAAAAAAAAAAAGACTAGATATCTCCAATACAAACAAGCAATACAGAATACCTAGAGATGCTAGGCTTTTAGGAACATTTGCTAATCCAAATAATTAAGATGTACGGTTTTTCACTATAGACAGGGAAATGGCTTTGGACTTGAGCAAGGCAGCAAGTTAAAACTGAGACATCTTTATAAAATAACGGTCCTTGAGGGCTATTCCTCATGGAAGGGTAGGCCAGAAGAAAATCAGGTAAAATTAAAACTTAACTGTTTTAATGTGGGTCCTGATGGAATATAAATCTCACAGAGATACAGGCCTATCCTCACTATGGTCTTGAGTCCAATAAGTACTATTTACAGGACTAGAGGTGTGGCTCGAGTGGTAGAGTGCCTGACTAGGAAGCACCAAGCCCTGTGTTCAAACCCTGCTACTGAAAAAAGAAAGAAACCTACTTACAAGCTGGGCACGGTGGCACAAGCCTATCATCTCAGGACTTGGGAGACTGAGGCAGGAAGTTACAAGTTTGAGGCCAGCCTGTATTATACAGTGAGTTCAGAATCGCCCTGAGCTATATAGTGAGACCCTCTCTTAAAAAATAAGGACTGGGGGTGTAGCTCATTGTTAAGCCCTTGCCTTGTACAAGGCCCTGGGTTCAATCCTCAGCACCACCAAAAAACAAAAACAAAAACTCCTGCTAACATGGCTAGGGACTTTAGTCTAAAATTAACAGGTTGGTATCCCTCTGGCATGTCTGGCAGACACAAATCCTATTGGGGAAAAATGCATTATCAGTTTGGGCCTCAGAGGCCTCCCACAAATAATGTCCCACAAAATATGAGCTCACAGTATCAGATAACAAAATACACATAGCAATAAGCTATTGTGCTCAAGTGTCTATACAGACTTATCCTGGAAGAAAAGATGATCTTTAAGTATTTTAACATGAACTCTTACTAGGGTCTATGTCATTGGCCAAGATCCTTGATGCCCCACTTATCTTAGCAGCAATAGCAGTAGCTCCACATCCACTCCCGAGATCTAGTACAGATTTGCCTCTAACCGTGTCAGGATTGTCCAAAAGATACCTAAATTGGAAAGAGGAGAAGACAGCAAAGAGTGATGGGGAAAGGTTAGTTAGAGGTATCCAAAAAAGAAAAGGCCAGGTCTCATGGTACACACCTGTTATCCTAGCACTCAGCAGTAGGATTTCAAGTTTGAGGCCAGCCTGGGCTACATAGCAAGATGCTGTCTCAAAGGAGGAAAAAAATGTCTTTTGAGTTGATTGGGCAAAGAAATAATAGAACTTAGCAGAACATGATCCAACTTTGCAGTTTTCCTGACTAGAAGGGGCAAAATTGAACTGCAGAACTGGGCAGAGGTAGCAGAACAGAGGACCTAGTTATTTTCCCTTCCTATTTAACAGATGTGAAGAGTCCCAGACAACAGCATAATCATGCTCTTCAAGTCAACTTGAAGAACAAGTATTGTTCTTACCTATGACCCAGAAAGTACCAGGCACCCAAAATGAAGAACGACAAAATACTGCCAACAATCAGAACTAAGTAAAGCAGATGCAAGTTTCACTGTTTCCTGCTGATTGTGCATTTTACTTGCTGCCTGAATTGTATTATAATGACCTCTTTGGTAAGGCACAATGTCTGGTTCAACCAAGGAATTTGTGCCAGGGAGAAGTAGTTACCAAAGTCAACTATAAAGGAGGTTTTTTGTCTATTTTTTGTTGTTTTGGGTTTTTTGAAAGAGAGTCTCACTATGTAGCCCAGACTGGCCTCAACTCCTGATTCTTCTGTCTTTACCTCCTAAGCACTGGAATTACAGGAGTGAGCCACTGTGCCCAGCTGTAGGTGGCTTTTTCAGAGAAAAAGGTGACTGTCTTCCCATAATATAAACGCTCCTCTGCTCAGTGGAGCAAGCCTCAATGACTTTTGGGGCTTTGCTGTTATGTAGGACCAGAAGATTGCAAAGTTGGAGGGAACTGAAAGGAGAAAGGATCTGTGACAGCTTCATAGATTCCCATTTCATCAGGGCAGTACCTTGACAGGGCCTGACCTCCTGGCCAGTAGATTGCCCAGTAAGGATCACTGTAGGGCCACAAGTCAGCTCGTTCCCATCAGAACTTACATCTGGGGGTCAAAAGCCGTAACTGAATTTCAGGAGTGAGGCTGCCATTGCTGGTGACTTCAGTGTTCTCCTCCAGGAAAGCTTTTATCTCAGGGTCCACAGAACTTCCTGCTCCTCTCCAGGGAAACAGGCCACTGCTTCTTGAGGGCTTCAGAAGGAGACGCCATTGGTTCCTGGAGGCTTTCCAACCTATGCTCGAAGCCATCAGTCCTTTTCCAAAGCAGTTCTGTTAGTGTGACTGTTGATAAGGGATGCTCCCCACAGGGAAAGAACAGGGTCTGTCTCCCACCTCAATTGCACCTGGAAACTCTGGATCTCTAAAAACTCATACTGAAAACATAAGGCTAACCATCATTGAAGATCCTATCACAATAAGAAAATATTCTGTAGTTGGCAGTTCACAAATGTGAGTTCATTTCAAAGGAAAGTTTGGTGCATTAATTTGGAAAATCCAATGTTCTGTGGCCTTTTCGGTAAGAATTCCTTTTAATAAGAACAACAAATACATAAGTGTTTTATTTTGAGGGAATTGTCAGGAAAATGTCTGTTACATATAATAAGGTATACCTTTAAAGTCTTTCATACATTTAATAAATCACTTTACCTTTAAGCAGGCAGGCTCAGCAACTGAGAACAAATTGAAAGTCCAAAGGGGACTATTGTCCCCTACCTTCAGGAAACTTATATTCTACTGATGGGACAAAGTGGTTAGCAAGGCACACAGTTACACAGTTTTTGCCTTTATAAAGTATAGCCAGATCTGTAGAGGTTAATAAATTATACTGACTACACCAGTTCATTAATGATAGTCTTAGCTGGGTGTGGTGGCATGGGCCTATAGTCCCAGCTAAGGCAGGAAGATCCCTTCAGTCTAGCCCAGGAGTTTGAGGTCAGCCTATGCAACATGGTGAGACTCTGTCTCAATAAAAAGAAAAAAAAGATTGTCCTATCATCAAAGAATGCAATTAAGAAATTGATTCAGATTTTTTCCTTTGGGGAAAACCACACTTTTCATGGGGGCTGAGCACACCGCTCAAGTGGTAGAGTACTTGCCTAGCAAGTACTACTAAAAAAAATAAAACTGAGGTGTTCTACCTCTTGAGCCATACTTCTTTCCAGTCCAGTTTGCTGTTATTATTTTGGAGATGAAGACTCACCAACTATTTGTCCCGGGTGGTCTCGAACCTTGATCCTCTCAAGTAGCCGGGATTACAGGCATGAGCCATCAGTCCCTGGCTTCTTTCTGTACATATCTTTGATGAATCAACTTTACCAAGCCTGAACAGAAAGATTTGTTCCAAAAAGATATGCACTGGGCTGGCAAAATGACTCAAGTGGTAGAGCACCTGCCTAGCAAGTGTGAAGCCCTGAGTTCAAATCCACAGTACTTCAAAAAAACAAAACAACACACATGCACACACATTAAGCAGGAATGAAGAACATCTTAAATCATACACTCAAAACCTCTCATCTTTTTTGCATAAATGTTTGTAATAGTCTATCCACCCAAGTATTTAGAGGGGGTCAAAAACTCAAACGTCTGTAAGTGGCTACCCATGATGCACCTGAGTGATGTGTTTGAGAAAAATAACAGAGGAGCTATGACAAACGAGGCTGTAAACAGTCCAAAGGGGCCAGGCAGCGACCTGCTGCTGAGCCAGTGCAGTTTTTCAGAAGAGTCCTGATAATGACACATAAGCTCTCACTTTTAAACACTGGCGTCCACCCAGGATGGACTTTCTACAGGTGTTATCCACGCTTCTGCCTGTATAACTAAAGGAGGAGGCGAGGTGTCCTTACCAGGCTTGGGTGACTCTCGGAAGGAAAGCGGGGGCGGGGCGCCGGGAGAGGGCTACCGCGACAGGGCTACCGCATGAGCAGTCGGGCGGCCGGACGCTGGGACGGAGGGTGGGGCTTCCGGGCGCGAGGCGGAGCGAGGTTCGGGGCTTCCGGGGGAAGGGGCGGAGCGAGGGCGGGTTAGGGGCGGGGAAGTCGGGGGCGGGGGGAGGCGTGGCCCGCCCTCCTTCCCAGCAGTGCTTGCGTTTCTCTTCCCATTTTCTCCGCCGACAGGAGGCGCCAACGCACGCGGCTCCGCACCTCAAATAGGAGGTGAGGGACCGTAAGTCAGCGTGCAGTGTCTGGCGAGTCCGGAGTTCTAGAATTTGGCGCGGATACGATGCACGCAGCGTGCCCTGTGTGCCACTAAAGGCAGTGGGCCTGTGGAGACTTAAGCAGGCGGGGCGAGCCCTTTAGGACGCCTGCATTCAGCTGTGGTTAAGCCGCGCATGAGAATGTACGTGATGCACCATCTACGCCTCCTGTGCCCCTGCGGCTCCGGATCCCTGTTACCCACCTTTCAAGCCTGGGCCCTCAACTTATCACTCTAAAATAACCTCACCTGACAACCGTTTAAACCTGCTGTGGCATGCAAGAGAGAAAAAAAGTCCAAAATTAACAAACGGCCAAACCATGTTTCTGCTTCTTGGGTTGCAGTTTCAGAAATGCGCTGGCAGGTGCTGTTCAGACGGGTCCTCTGCTTTTTTATTTTTTTTAATTGGTGGTGTTGGAGTTTGAACTCAGGACTTAAGCCACCCCTCCAGCCCAGCTCTTTTAAAATTAAGTACTGGTTTTTGAGGGTTTTTTTGGTTTTTTTTGGTACTGGAGTTTGAACTCAGGACCTGGAGCTTGCTAGGCAGGTGCTCTACCACTTGAGCCATGGCGCTGGCCCTAAGAAATGTTGTTAACCAGGTTCCTGTATTCTATCTCAGTGAATAGCTTAAGGATCCCAATTGGTAACCCAAGAAATCAGAAGAGAGGTCAGCCTAACATCTCTACAAAAGAGGGCCCTGGTGAAAATCTTGGTGATCGCCACTGAAGATGCATTTAATAAGGTGAAGATAGATACCAGACATGGTGGTGCCAACCTGTAATCCCTGCACTCAGGAGGCTGAGACAAGAGGATCACCAGTTCAAGGCAAGCCGCAACTCCAAAGTGAGTTCTAGGCCAGCCTGGGCTACACAGTGAGATTCTCTGCCAAAAAGCAACCCTGAAGATACCTTATCCGAAACTCAAAATGAGGCTAAAGGGATTATGCATGTCTTTGTCTTCCTTAATAGTTTTAAAATTGGTCTACTTCTTTCTATTCCTCCAGCTCTCTCAGTAGTGTAGTCTTGTGATTACTTACCTGTACACCTGTAACTGGTCTCCAACCCTGCCTTCCTCTAACTCATTCTCTATACTGTCACTTAAGTGATTTTTTTTTTCCTGAAACTTCTATCCTACAATCGAGAAAGGCCTTACATTCCTATAGTTTCAGATAAACTATGAAAAACAGGTCACATGGATTTTCTTTGCTGTTATTCAGCGTGGCCATGTTGTGTTTTTAAAGACAAAGAAAATCTGTTGCCCACCTGGGACCCCCAAGTTGTGGGCTCAATCTTCCTGTGTCAGCCTCCCGAGTAGCTGGGACTATAAGCACAATGCTGACATGTCCAGGCTTCTTGTTTTTTAATTGAAAGAAAGGACTTTTTAAGTTGGGCACTGGTGGCTCACACCTATAATCCTAGCTACTCAGGAGGCAGGAATCAGGAGAATCATGCATGGTTCAAAGCCAGCCCCAGGCAAATACTTCATGAGAAAAATTTTAACCCAAAGTAGGGCTGGTGGAGTGGTTCAAGTGGTAGAGCAACTGCCTAACAAGCAGCAGGTCCTGAGTTCAACCCCACAAAAATAAAAAAGGACCATCTTGCTTTTGGTACCACAAAAAATAAAAAGGACCATCTTGCTTTTGTTAAAATTTGCTCAATATAGTATATCCAAGCAGACTTGTTCAACTGTCTGAAAACAATTTGAGCTATTATCTAATCTGGTCATTATTGCTTTTAAACACCTGCTTGACATTTTTGTTCAGAGAGCCAGTTTTCTAATAAACTGGTCTTTCTTGCAAGTAAAACTTTTTATTCCCTACTCAAATTTGTCTTCAAGGGTTTTTGTTTGTTTTTGACAGGTTATTCATTACTTATTAGTATGTGACCTTGGATTTAATAAGATGCAAGTGAAATGCTGGCTTATGATATAGCTCAGTGGTAGAGCACTTTCCTGGCATATACAAGGCCCTGGGTTCAATCCCCAGGGAAAAGTGCTTAGCTCAGTTTCTTGCATGTAGAGAATACTTGATAAGTACAATATTACAGTGACTGTCATCATTGGAAGCATAAAGACAGTGCTGCTGTGGAGCAAGAGTGAAAGCTGAAGGTCAGGTGTTCAGCTAAGGATGAGAAGATCAGATCAGGGTTATAGAAAAATGTTTTAAGGTATAGGTAGCAAATAGTTTAGAGGGAGCCAGGACTGAAGACGCCAGTTAGAGGATATTATGACAATCCATGCGAGTGAAAATGAGGGCAGAACTAAGGCAATTGCGCAGGGATGGAAAAAAATTGGACAGATTCAGAAAATGATTAAGGAAGAGCTACTAGCAGGACTTGAAGACTAAACTTGCTTAACTAAAAGGATAGCCAAACTAAGGGCAAGATATAGTTTTTTCTTTCTCAACTAGACCAACCTATGCTGTCAATCACTGTGCCATCTGACCATGTTCTCTCTTACCTTAAATCCTCTTGGGCTCCTCAGGCCTTCAATGTCCTGATCACAGCTTCCCAGGCCCTTAGTGATCAGTCCTACTTAGCTATCTTGCCTCCTATCAGGACACTCCTCCTCTCACCTCTCCACTACAATTGCCCTCCTCCCACTAGACCTTGTTCTCTGACCCCAGGCCTTGCTTAAAACAGAAAGCTGGGGCTGGGAGTGTAGCTCAGTGGTAGAGCACTTGCCTAGCATGCTCAAGGCCCTGGGTTTGACACCAGCATTGCAAAAATAAAACAACATAAAGCTAAACTGCTGTCACCCACCTCCCCCACACATCCCTCTTCCTCATCCTTCCAGAATTCAGGCCATCCCCAACACACAGGAATCTTAATATGTCCTTGACTTCTAATGGGTATATCCAACAGAAATATCACTCAGAACTGTCATTGTCTGGCTCCACACTAGCCTTGAAGGCCCATCTGAGTTCTTAAGTGGGACTTTTGGCTGGGTCTAGAAACCAGATTGACACAAGGTAGATTAATGGAAGAAAAGCAAACAAGTTGTATTGACTTTTACATGTACATGAGGACCCTCATGAGAGAGTGAAGACATAGAGAAATGGCCACAGTAGGAAGCTTTTACATTTTATGTTCACAAGAAAGATAAATGTAAGAAGGAATGACAGGACAAAGGGATCTGGGCTGGGCATTAAATTCCAGGGAGTCACTGAGAGATATTTGGAGGGGTGGAAGGCTGGTGGAAGACAAGAGCTGCCTCAGTGAACTGCTTTGTACAGGCCTTTGCAGCAACCATGCCTAGTCTCTGGTGAGTACCAGTTATTTCTGGCCCTGCTACAGGGAAGGCATCCTCTACACAGGAATGATTGTGGCTTGCTATGTGTAGGAAAGGGCAGGTCAGACAACCCATTCTGCAACTTTAGTCTCAAGTCCTTTCAGCTTGAAGTTGTCAGTATACCAAATCAGACTATTTTGGAGTTGATCATCCTCAACTTCTTAAGGGTCTTGGTTGTTGTCTGCTCTGATAACTCTATGTGTATACAAGTGTCTGTATAATTTATACTCATTGTAGAATCTTTGTGGTTATAGTTCTTTCTCTAGAGATTTTATTACCCACAAAATTGAAGAAAAATAGTGAAACAAGATTGTTAGATTAATAGATAAAAACTTTCAATTAGTGGGCCCTGGTTTAATGTTTATTTAGGAATATGTGATTGAAATATTGGTGATATCCGTGTCTTAGGAATCAAAGAGACTGACAGGAAAAAGGGAAACAACTTTAGTTCATTTAAAATGCATCTTGGTAATGAGGTTTGCTGAAAAAAAAAATGTAGAGGAAAACCATCTTGTCTATCACTTTACATGGCATAGGGTTTTGAATCTTGTCAAACTAGATTTGTAAATGTTAATAAAGATATTCACACTGGTTTATGAAGGGCTAAGTGCTAACAAACAGCATTGAAAAGTGTTAGCGACCAGTATAGCACAGTGTGATTTATTATACTATATTTGTATTTCAGATGCCTTTGGTGCTTCATGGAGAATATTTCCAGATACATCACAGACATCAAGCCGTTGCCTCCTAACATAAAAGACAGACTGATTAAGATAATGAGCACACAAGGGCGAATAACAGATTCAAATATAAGTGAGGTAAGAGTGCATAACTGCAAAGCAAGCATTTTGGTTTTACTGCTTACATATGGTTTCAGAGTTTTTGAAGCAAGGGAATATATTATATATACATATATATATATGTTGTGGCAATATAGTCAGAGGAGAAACCAAGCGACACTCGGAGGAGTGGAGAACTCAGATTTTAATTTTTATGCTAGCGGGCCCAGATGTGTACCTGTGTCTGAGCCCTGAACAAAGGATTCACAGGATATTAAAAAGCAGTGCAGGGTATCAGGTTACAAGGAATGTGCTCTCCCATAAAGTAGGGCTAGTAGTGGTTTAGAGATCTAAGGTTTAGATAAGAACAGCAGGGGAGTCCTGCTTTGGAAAGTTTATTTACAAGTGGAGACAAAGAAAGGCAGGAATGGGTGCTTATCTCTGCATGGTGCCTTTCATCTGGGTCCCGAATTTTTGCATGGCTCTAATGGGCAATTCCTCACAGCTCTGTCAGAGGTTACAGCTTTTAATTGACAGTTTACCATGTTTTACAACCCTGTTTTAAGGCTATCTTCCTCTTCATATATATATAATATATGCATCTGGGGTTTTCTTTAGGAAACCAAAATGTCCATATGTAATAGTTCTTAAAAAATCTTCTACCATTTTCAGTTGCTTCCCT